AAGACTAAATAATAATAATTTAGCTACCAAACAAAGGTCCTTTAGTTCCTCCTTAAGGGCCGTAGATAATATTCTGAGCCGTGTCCTTTGAGCTGTTTTGCAGGGCCTGAGGCTCCCACCAGGTGGAAGAAGTTAACGGCATGCTGCCCACAAGCACGTGGACCCCCAGACTGGTTGGAACCAGAAGCTTGGTGAGGTTGACTCCCGATGACCTCACCACCAACCAATCAGAAGAGTGTCCGTGAGCTGATCACACCCCCCCACAACCCCCCTCCCTCACCTTGTCTTTAAAAACCTTTCCCTGAAAGCCATCGGGGAATTTGGGTCTTTTGAGCCCTAGCTGCCTGGACTCCTTGCTTGGCGCCTGCAATAAACATGGCACTTTCCTTCACCACAACCCGGTTTCAGTAGATTGGCTTTGCTGTGCGTGGGCAAGTGGACCCAAATTTGGTTCCGTAACATTACTTGCCTCGGGCACTTTTTCTGATCACCCAGGTGGGCCATCCCCCTCACTTACTCTTTACCCTGCCTTATTTGTCTTCACAGCACGTCTCATTGTCTGACATTATATCATATTTTTATTTATTTGTTTATTACCTGTCCCCCTCCTCCACCAAAATACGGCCTCTGTGTCAGCAGGGACTTGGTTCATTTGTTTGCAGATTATCCCTAGCATGTGGCACATAGTAGGTGCTCCATGAAAAATGTGTTGCATGAATACTTTAATTTGAGGATTCCCAAATGGAGCTGATCAGGGAACTTTTCCTCTGCCACCCATTAAAATCCAGGGAAATACTCTTGAGAACTCACCAGGGAGAGGGTGTCTAAGATCCCTGTCTTAGAACCAGCCACTCAGTTCTGAATACACTGACAATGCAGCATTAGACTGAAAAGCAAACAGAACGGACTGGCTTGTCCACCATCTATGATGGGCGTTGCCATCACATGACCCGAGGAACTGAGCCTTGTGCAAGGCTGACCCCAGGGCTGCCTCAATGGGCCTCACCCACGCAGCCCTGCTGCGGTTTTCCTGGAGATGGCTTTCAGTGAAGATTCTTTGTGAACTGTTGGTGGCGCGTGGTGGACTTTCTCAGAACATGTTTTCAGAAACGAGAGCGAGGCTCACGCTTGGAGGAGTGCTTAGATTTTCGAGTTCTCCATCAGGAGACATTGGTCCAGTCGCAGCCACCACGTGGCCCCCTGCTTTCTCTGTGCCGGGAACAGCTTGGCACTTTACCTGTGTTTTTCTCAAGGTATCCACCTCCAAATGAGGAGCCTCTGTTTGCTGGTCAAGAGATCAAGGCTCAGGGAGATCAAATGACTTGCCCAAGATCATCCTTCTAGGAAGCAGCAGTGCTGGGATGAAAACAAAGTCCTCCCTGACTGAAAGAAAGCCCATCTCTGGCTCTCCACACTTGCAGACAGAACGGGGGCTGTCCTTTCATAACTCTGTACTTAAATACTCAGCATGGCTTGTCCTAGGAGCTAAATGGTCCTTGTCAGAGCCCTTAAGGCAACAAATGAGACCATTAATCCTCAGAAGGGCTCTTTGCCCTTTATGGCCTGTGGTTGGATTGATCCATCCACTTCCAGGAATAAAGCTGTGTCCCATTTTCACTTTTGATCCACACTTGCAGGTTTATTTTGGCTTTGCCATCTGACACTTGTCCGTCTAGAATAAAGGCATCTCAGGTCATTTGGCATCAAGCAATAGAAACCAGCTTGTTTAAGCAAAGATAGGACTTTATTGAAAGCTGCCTGGGGCATCCCACAACCTAAAGGGCAGTGAGTGAGGGCAGGAAATGCAAACCAGCTGAACTCTCTCTTTTTCAGGAGGACTGTTTTCTCTGTGAACCTCTGTTTCATCAGTCTTCTCTTGTAGACCAGCGTTCTCTGTGCACACGGCTTCCTGGTGGCTTTCAAGTTTATTATATCCAGTTCAAGTAGCCAGTCCCAGATGATCATGGTCATTGTCACCAAAGGCCATGGGACGCACTTTGGGAAACACTGTCCAAGCGAGAACCTTCCCATGGAGAGCAGGGCTGGGGCTTCACTGCTGTGTCCCCAGAGCCCAGGAGAGTGCCCGGCACGTAGCACACTTGTGGTGCTCAGTACATATGTGTGGACGGATCCAGCTGGTTTAGCCGCACACACACACCAGGCAGCACTCAGCCCTGTAGCCACAGTCACGCTCCAACACGATCTTTCACCTCTATCATCCTCTTGAGGCTCCCGTTCGTCAGAACCATAACCAGGCTGAGAAAAGTGGGAACCGGAAGTGAGACCAGGTGGAGTATCCGCTGAGAACCCTGTGTCGCCTACAAAGCCAAGGCAGTGCCTGCCTCCAAGGACTTGGGCTAAATTTAGGATCAGAGCTAAAAAGGGGAACTTGATGGGTTCCATAGCATCTCTTGTGGAACCCAGGGGCAGAAGTACAGCTGGGCTTCCCAAGGGACGAGGACCAAGGACCAGAAAGTCATTGGAAGACAGCCATCTCTGCAGTCTCATTTTCGTGTCTGCCTTTCTCGGCAGTTAGCTTCGTTCTCTCTCTGCTGAGCAGCGTCCCCTGCTTCACTCACCTGTGGCCCCTAATCCCTGAGACTACATCACCCCACCAGCCTCTCCGTCCCAGGGCCAGTTCCTGGGAGAGACGAGTCTAGCTCAGCTCAGCTTCTGATTGGTTCTCCCAGGTCAGGTGGACACACACCTCAGGTCCTATCAGCTGTGACCTGAGAGAGTGGAGGTCACATGATGCCGACATGGCTGCTGAGATTCCTCCTTTTGGGTTCATAGCCCTGGGGCCAGTGAGGGCCCAAGAACAGGTGCGTGGCTTCTTGACTTTTCTTCTCCATCTCTGCCTTTCTTATGTTTACCTTAGGAACAAAAACATGATGGAGACGAAAGGACAGCCTAGGGTCTTTCTTCTGGGTTTTACTTTTTTTTTGTTTGTAGTCAAAAGATAGAGAGCTCTGATAAGTCTGAATCAGTGAGCAAACAGGATGAGTGTGCCTGGGGGAATTTTGAGGTAAAGGTGACTTCCTGCTTTGCTTTTAATTTATTGCAGATAACTTCCCTGCCTCTCTAGGCACTATTCAGGCTCTGGCCTGTTGCTAGCATTCCCAGCTCACATTCTCTCTGCCTTCTTTTTAGACAGAGGTGCATCCATGCTCTGTATTTTATATACTAAATATCCACGAGCTAGTCTCTGAGCAGTATGAATCATTTTCTATTTGATCATTTCCACACATATAAAACAAACAGGGTCCTCAGTGCAGCAATTTCCACAGCACTCCTGCCTGTAGGAAGAGTCAAGATCAGCTCAGATCAAAGCGGGGCTGGTCTCTAAAGAGTTGAAGCTTGAGCCCCATGTTGGTCTCCTAAAGCTAGTGGAACAAATTCCCTCCAGCTTAGTGGCCTGAAACAACAAACTTATTCTCCTATGGTTCTGGAGGTCAGAAGTCCAAAATCCACATCAGCTGGGCTGAAATCAAGGTTTTTCAGAAGGGTTAGGGGTTAGGGATTAGGGTTAGGGATTCCCCTGGATGCTCTAGGACATGTCCATCCCTTGCCTCATCCAGGTGTGGTGGCTGCTGACACCCCTTGCCCGGTAGATGCATCACCACTGCAGTCTGCCTCCTCCTCTTCTGTGTAGGTCATCTCCTCCCGCCTCTCACTTCTAAGTGATGGCACTTAGGGCCCACCTGGATAATCCAGGATAATCCCCGCATCTCAAAATCCTTAGCTTCATCACAGCTGCAAAAACTCTACCATATAAGGTAACCTTCTCAGATCCCAAGGATTAGAGCCTGAGATCTTTGGGGGCTACGGGGTCAGCTGATCCACTGCAGGCTCCCCAACTTTTTCTCTTCCCAGGAGGGTCTAGACTGCAGAGCCCCCCACAGCTGTCTACAGAGGCCAGATCGAGAGACCTTTTAGAAGGTCGTTTCTCAGCTCACTTGGAACTTGCTAGTCCCTTATTCCTTTTCCTCCCATTTGTCTTCCCATCCAGGGGAAGCGCAGATGGTAGCTGAAGGGCAAGTCCAGGCCCGAGCTACACAGAGGCGCACAAGCTGGCTTGGTGCAGGGCTGGGACCAGACCAGGCCTCCGGGCATCCCTGGCCACAAAGCAGACCCTTGCAACTCCCTTTTTGTGGGTGGATTTATGCAAGGAAATGAAAGGTTGGAATATAGGCACTGTTGCCAATCGTGATAAAAGACGGTGCTTCACTTTTTACCTGCCGCCACCCCTTCCCTCCCACGGGAGCTTTCAGGAACATCCAGGCCCTGAGAATTTACTCTTTTAATCAAGCTCCTCGCCAGGCAGACCCCCAGCAGCCCGCTCCCTGCTCGCCAACACCGCGAAGGGAACTTTGGACTCGGGTCTGTCTTCCCAGACTCCCACTCCACGGTCAAGACCTTGACCCCAGACGTACCCGGTCCTCTGGTTCAGCCCAGCCTCGGCAGGCTGCCATCCCGTGTGTTCTCACGCGGTGAACTGCTCTCCTGAGCTCCACAGGGAGGCACTGCGCCCTGCCCACCGGGACAAGCTCACCCGCCCCACACGATCAGACAGCCCACCCGGGCCAGTTCTCAGAAGAGGAGACGACAGGGAGAGAGCTGCTGTCCAAACACCCAGAACTTTCTGCTGGGCACGTGGGTTGACAGGGACAGTCTCAGCTCTTGGGAGGCACAGGTCCTCATTCAAAGTATGAACAAGCTCTTTACATGGAGTTGCACAGTAGAATATTTAAGAACTCAGGTCCTGGAAGCCAGGGTTCAAATCCCAGTTCTGCCACTTACGTGTGGTTGGACATGGGGCCTTTTAATTAACCTGATCCTCCGTGAACTAACCTCCAAAATGTAGTAACACCTGGCTTGGGTCCAGTTGAAAATGGGACATACACTAGGTGTTTGGTATATTAGCTAATATCCTTATCAGTGAGGTTTCTCCCTCAGCAAGTCCGTTTTGGAAGAATGACTAAAGTAACACAGCAGCAAAGGAACGACATAGAAAATATTTTATTACAAAAAGCTCAGTTGCACGGCATTTTAGAAGGAACAGAACATCTCATACGGCCTTCCTTTTTTGCCGTTACGCAGGAGAGACTAGTCAACTCTACCAACGAAGACCAGGACCTTGCACCTCCTCAGGCCTGGGGTCCTCAAAAGAACCGATGGCATCGTTTCTCTGAGAACCCCACGGGACTCCTATGTATATCATCCAGCCTCTTGTTTGGCTTAATTCACGAAACAGGCCTGTGTCCTTTCCATAAAGCTGGGTCAGTTTTCCTACCCACAGTTCAGGACTCCAGTGAGAAAGCAAAGGCATAACTTGTTTTCTTTTGGAAACAGAACAGTCCTAGCGGAAGCAAAACAAAACCACAACCTAAACCAGTTGCTAGGTCTCCTTTCCTAATTGGAACAAGGAGTGATGTCACTGACGATTCAGAGTTGAGGAAGGCCAACAGGGACGATGCCAGCACCCTGTCCCTCTATGGGGTCACAACATCACGAGATCCGAGGCAGCAGCTCTTTCCGATGCACCTGCCACGTGAGGTTCTGTGGACTGCTCCCGAATCCCCTCACCCCCTTGCCCCCTGGCCCCCATCCAAATTGCTAAGGACACACCTGGCCCCTCGGCTTCTCAACGGTGACTGAAGTGGCTTCATTCGGGGTCTGGTGGCGTGGAGGATGAGTGAGGGAGGGACACGCTCGGGGAGGGGCCATCAGTCGGGGGGCCGGGTGTCGGGGGCTTTCTCCTGGACTTCATCATACTGTGGGGGGGGAGTCAAAGGCTCGATGGAGGGAGGAGGCACATTTTTGTCTGGCAGGTTGATCCTGAAGTCTTTGAGGTGAAGCTTTTCGGATTTTATCCTTCGAACTTTGAGCGGCTTCAGGCGTTTGGCCAGTCTGGAGTTCTGCCTGTCGGGGAGGTTCCCTGGGCTGATCTCCACGTCGGCCCTGGTTGTGGTGGGGCTTGTCTCGTCCAGCCCCGTCAAGGACTCGTAGGAGGGGAGAGAGATGCTCATCCTGGGGTTCTGGTCCGGTTCCCTCGCCTCCGAGTAGTTTGTGTTCATCACTTCCTCGTAGCTGGGGACATAGTACCTCGAGGAGGCCTCCTCCTCCTCCTCCTGGCTGCAAGACAGCAGGCACAGACACGGGGGTGTTAGCATGTGCTCGGGCCACTTAAAATCACAAACAGATGGCCCCCAAATCCCGTGTTGTCACTAGGGCACATAAACCAGCCTTGTAAACAACAAAGGTGTCCCGGAGGTAATAAAAACCAACACTTCAACAGTTGATTATGAGCCAAACCCTGCTCTAAGTACATAGGAACCAATTTCATCTTCACTAATGAGTTAGGTACTATTAGTATACCCATTTTATGGATGGGGAAATGGATACATAGAGGTTAAGTGACTTGGTCATACCTTTAAGAAGTGGGAGGGCAAGGTATGAATGCCACATACTCAACTACTACGTCCTATCACTGGTGTTAACCCCCCTTTGCCTTTAAGCCTCACGCTTCACAACATGCCCGGTGGGCTCTTCTGATACCCAGCAGAGGGTCCTTTGACCAAAGGCAACATAAAATGCACGAAACAGCTGCCAATTTGAAGCAAAACAGTTATCCCCCAGTAGAGAACGAATATCTGGAATATAAAATTTACATGTATCTCAAATTACTCTGTAATTCTGTCTTCCAAGTTCACCGTTAGATGCAAAGGATGGGTCACATCCTCAGCCTTACTCTTGTTTGACTGTTGGCAAAGGAAAACCAAAAAGGGCATTTTTTTTTACACATTTTTTCACACTTGAACCTGTGTCACCTGTGTAGATGACAGTGGCCAACATGGGAAACCTCACTGTTTGTCTGGGCTTTGCTTTCATCTCCTTTAAGAATGAGCTCATGAATTACCCAGGGTGGGTTATGATGGGTGACTGATCTTCCTTCTTTATTCTTTTCTCTATTTCCCAAGTTTTCTAGACTATGCATGATTATTTTTTACTGTCAGAAAATCGGTTTAATTTTCCAAGATAAAAAACAACTCCCATCTCACCACAGAGATAAGACATACTTGCAGAAAATTCAAACAATACAGAAAAATCGAATGAAGGAAAAAAAAAAAACCCAAATCCTTCCACCCGGAGATGATAACCACCGTTGACCTTCTGCTGTGTACCTTTCCAGATCCTTCTCTCATCCCACAGCCACAGCGTTTGGTGCCATGAGGACCTTCCCTAACACGCGGTGTTGTAACCTCCTTTTCTCAGCGTGCTGGACGTGGTCCCACATTAGCGAGTATAAGCTGCGCAGAACTCCAAGGAATGGGCATGTCATGCTCGATGGATGAGTATTTAGGTTGTCAGTGTTTGCGGTTCTCAGCAGCGCTCTGATACACACAGGGGTGCAAACCCCTTTGCACCGGTGTGACTGTCTCCCACGGACACGCTCTCAGGAGTAGCACTGACCGGTGCACACGTCTTTAATACGGCCTCTTACTGGGAGCTCCCCTTCAGTAAGGTTATGTCTATCAACACTCTCATCAGCAACCCATTTTCCCACAAATCCCCAATCCCGGAGGCTGCCTTGGCCAATACGATGGCCAAAGAATTATGGCCCGTTTTGGGTTCTCTGCACTTCCTGACTAATGGGGCTGAGTATCTATCGTTTGAGTGTCTATGAAATGCTTGTCTGTGTCCTGTGTCTGTTTCCCTGCTGAAGGGTTCATCTTTCATATTCCTTTGCAAGGGCTCTTTTTACAATAGGGAGATCAACCTTGATCACAGGTTCCCCAATTGACCACTTGTCTTTTAAATGTGTGCGTAGCATTTTTGGTCAAAGAGAACCCTGCTTCCCAACCTTTTCAACTCAAAGCATAAACGCACAGGATGTGGGGTAAGTGACAAGCAGCCGGTCTGAAGGCTCTGGCCACTCCAGGCCCCCTGCAGATCCCCTGGGCATGTCAAAATCTCGATACACCTGTCATCCATTCGTAGCACATTATTTGGGAAACTTTGGGATCAAAGTATAAAGCTCTTTGTAAAATGACAAACTGTTTTACAGAAGCCTTAATGGGAGAAAGGCTCCTAGAGGAAAAGGTCTCCATCACTGAACCCTGGGAGAGGGGCCGTGAGGCCAGCCAGTCCTCACCTGTCCTCCTCCTGGGCGTGAGGCTCAACCCCCGGGTGCTGGATGTGCGCCAGCTCCTCGCCTTGCCGCCGCTTCCTCTTGTCCCGGACGCTCAGGCAGATGGACAGCAGCAGCAGCATCACCCCGGCCCCAACCAGCACGTAGGCCACGGAGAAGGTCTTGCTCTTGAGAATGCCGCTGCCTATCTCCGTCTTGTTGTTCCCCTGAGCGGTCGGCTTCTCGGCCGCGCTGAAGCCAGGTACCAGGTTCCACATGGCCATGATGACCCCGAGGACCAGCATCCCCAGGCCGATGGCGGTCAGTGCATAGTGCGAGCCGTTGGCCTTGGACTGGGCCATCATGCCAGTGGGAGCCAGACAAGGCCCAGGTTCGAAGAAAGAAAGGAAATAAATAAAAGGCGGCAGCAGCAGCAGCAAAGCCCCCTTACACGCCCTGAACAAAACCCCTAGGGCCACACTGACAACACAGCCACGGACTCTCGAGGGACCGTTTCAAGCCGATGCGAGGCATCCCGTGTGGTCGGCTGCGGCCGAGAGGTCTGAAAGGAAAGCGGAGGAAAATCAGAAAGGGAGGAAAATCAGCTCCGCTTCAGGCCGCCCTGGTGGACGCAGCGGCTGTCCGCTTGAAGGGGTTAAGAGGCAGGACTGAGTCCCGGGCGGGGCTGGGCCTCGCCTCTGATGCATTCCAGATGTCTTACGTGCTCCCACTCCTTCTGTGAGCCTGCGAAAGGAAGGCTGATCTGCCTACCCCCGCCCGAAAAGGAAATGGCAGGCCTTTCCCTGCAGGAGGACGGAAAGGTCAGAGTTGCAGGTCATTCAAACATGTTGTGGAATGTAATGAAACCTCACTCTGTGCGGGTACCGCAAGGAGACTGGACGATGGCATGTCTGAGCCGTGATCAACTGATGTACCAGAATCGCCTAGGTGACAGGCATTGGTCAATGCTATGTCCCAGTCCAGACAGGCCCCTGCGGTCTGTTCACCACCCTCAGTGGCTCCCTGTTTCCTGCTGCAGAAAATCCAGGCTCCTTAGAATCATGCTCGTGGCTGGCTTAACCTGGCCCTGCCTCCCCCGCTTGTCTGGCACCTCACCTTCCTTCCCACACCCCGCCTGGCATTGCTGCCCTTCCCTGATGTGTCCCGCACGCCCCCAGCAACTACTGTGGCCCATCTCTCTCTTCCCATGACCGCATCTTCTTCACTCCGCTCCTGGAACGTAACAAGGACTCCAAAAATCTCTGCTGAATCCAATGAATGAAATGAACAGAGGCCACATGAAGCCACCCTGCAGGACACACTTCTTTTCAGCCACATGGAGTTTTGCTTTTCTTAAAGGGGCAGAAGCCTGCACATTCCTCATCTTAGCTGTTGTGCCCAGCTGGAGGAGAAACTCTCTTCCCGTGAAGCTGCTTGGAGAACTTGTGCAGAAGAGAGTGCTCAACCAACCTGGGAGTCCATAACCATTTGCTGGCTGGGAGAGGGAGCCAGATAAGCAACTGACTAGAAGGGCTTCGCTTAGAACACTTGCAGAGGGCGGGAGGACCAGCAAGCAAGGCTCCTGGCTAATTACACTCCTCAAGTACGTTATTTCTGCAACCGCAGCCTTTGCAGAACAGTAAAACTTTATAGCTGTTTAGATGGGCCAAGTCCTGTTTGTGGTACTGCATTCTTTCTGCTTCTTGCAAAAGGACGGCTAATCAGGCCACTTGAAATCTGATGCTGCAAAGATATTTTCTCATCAAACAGTGGACTCCATCTGAAACTGGCCACTTTGTTCAAAAATACTCTAAAAATATTTGGGATAACATCCTTTATCGGCTGGAAGTCCATCCCTTCTTTCTTTTACTCAACAAATATTTCTTGTGCATCTGCTAAGCAGTGGTAGGTGCTGGAGAAACACTGGTGAGTAAGTTAAGGATGAGGGGGGCTTCCAGGCCAGCAGGAAAACAGTCTACAGGGAGTAACAATAAATTGGGAAGAAAGTATGGGAACTGGGGCATAATGCAGCCAGGTGCCCTAACTCGGGCTCGAGGGCATATGGGAAGTCTCTGTGAGAGAGAAGTCCCACTTCCCATCATACGGTCTGCGCCCTGAATGTGCTGTAGTATATGTGTGGGCGTGTGTGTGTACAAACGTGCGCACACACGCCCTGGTGCATGAACATGCGTGTGTATGCACGCAGAGCACCGAACAGGGATCAGTCTACCGTATATACAAGGGTGTATGTTTCTCCCATCACTCACGGCCAGCAAAAGGAAGGATGAGGGATTTGGCAGGCCTGGGAATGCATCAGCTCTGCCAAATGGATCTGAGACAAGGCCAGACTTGGAGGGCTCAGTGGTGGAGAGGTGCAGCCCCAGGCTCATGCTGGAAGCAGAAGAGATGTAAAAACCACTTACTGAGCACCTGCTCAGGACTCAACAGGCAGGCCTCGTACCTGGGAGGCTGACGACCTGTTTATTAAACCAGTGATGGGGCCATGTTACCCTCTCTGCCTCCTTGCTCTCATTAATTCTCAGTTCAAGGTTTGCCTTATATTGTCATGTGAGTAAAACAGGGCCCCGATGTGAGGCATGGGCAGAGATAAAAATGTCAGAATTAACAGATTTTTGGACTGTTAAATTGTCAATGACCAAAAACAAGTCATAATGCTCAGTGTGGGTGAGGGTGCTGGGATGGGCAACTTCACATGTTTTTTTCTGGATGGCAAGTTTTGACATTTGTGAACCAAAAGTTTAAAAAATGTTGATACCCTTAGGCTCTATAATTTCAACTTCTAAGAACTGTGTACAAGGCAAGGATATGCATCGTAGCTTTACAGAAGCGAGAAACTAGGAACTACTTAAATAGCCAATAACCTGGATCTGGTTAAATATGCACTTATTCAATTAGTCTCAAAGCAGCTAATGGTACATTTTAAAGTCAAACAACAGTATGTTCAGTGTGATTCTAATTTTAATAAAATTCTAAACACAAGTATGTATAAATGAATATATGGGAGAAAAGGCTGAATGATCCTTAAATGTTAAAATTAAAAAAGAGACAATATATTTTCTTACCTGCAAACATATACATAGAAATCCCAGGGAGAGGGACACATTCCAGACTTGTACCAGTGATTGCTTTTGGGGATGGAGGGAGCTTGGGAAGCAGAACTTTTACTCTATTTCTGTATTTTGGATATTTTTTACAATTAAGATGTGTTGTTGCAAGGCAACACAGCTTGGTGGTTAAGTGTGAACTTTGGAACCAGGCTGCCTGGGCCCTGCACCTTTCTAGCTGTGTGACCTTGGACAAGTTACTTAACCTCTCTGTGCCTCAGTTTCCACAACTGTAAGATGGAGATGAAAGCTCTCTAGTACTCACCTCATAGGGGAGTTAAGATAAATCAACAGTAAGTATACATAATGCACCTAGAACAGTATGTGACCAGCACATAGTAAGTTCTTACAGAAATTAATATTATCATTATACTAAATAAAATTAATATTTAAGGCCTGCATTCTCAATGGGGTAAGACCACCCCCAAGGGGGGAAAATTGGCTCTTAGGGATGGTATAAAATCATCTTAGTTGTTACAACAGTTTGTGGTCCTCCACAATACATAAACAGATACCCAGCATATCTGTGGTATTAAAATTTCATGGGGTGGGGTGGGGACTATTACAAAAAGAAAGTCTAAAAAGACTCCTTAGGGAACACTAGTGGGGCAAAAATTGTTGAGCGACATCATTGAATGTATGCTGTTAAATTTTAACACACTCAAATTACACCTGCCGTGATGTTTACAGTTATTTTCTCTGTGTGGCGGGAGTAGAATGATTTTTATTTTCTTTCTCTTACTGGGAGGGTAAGAACTGGAAAACACCGAAACGTGCACGTGTTGCTTTTCAAATAAGAAAATGAAGTAAAGGGTTTAGGGTTTTGTTACAAAAGAAAGGTTCTGCTTGGAACACACAGCAGGGTTACGTGTCCAACAGTAGCTTAAAGTTGTTCATCGGTCCCACCCTCCCTCTGGAGACCAGGATCTCGAGCTGGTTCACCAGCGGGTGTGGAAACCCAGCTCCCTGAGGTGCAGCTGGCGACTGTTTATCTTCTTCCTGGCTTGTTGACCCACGTTATATTTAGTACAGTGTTCTTTCCCTTTCAAAAATATGGAAAGACGCTAATTTTGTGCTTGGAGGATTTGGACCACATAGTTTCCAAGATGTCCTTAAAACTGAGCAGCCCTAGTGGGCAGCCTGGGGTCCCAGCTTGGCCAGACGCACCTCTGGACCCAGGAGTTGGATCCATCACGGGTCAGGTTCAAGGTGGCCCAAAGGGACAAGTGAGTGATCCTGTATCTGGGTTTTCAAGAAAACTGTTAACCAGTTAAGAGAGGCACCTACCTGTTGTTACCTGGGGAGGCTCCGGGCAGGCCTGACAGCAAATCTTCATGCTAAAATCTTGAGTTAAGACCCACCTGTAAAAAAGCAGAAAAGGAGCTTTCTAAGTAAGCCGTGAGCATGTCAATTGGAGGTGCTCATGGGGAAGGCACGTGCTTGCTTTATTTTTTGTTGGGAGGGCTATGGGTGGGGGTAGGGTACACACAAGAGAAGCTGTATCAAAAGAAGCCAAGATTCTGTACCACAAGAGTGGGGTTGCAGAAGGATGACAGTATGGGAGCTTTCCATGTTTTTCTCCCTCTTACACAAGTGCTCCAGAGGGTAAAAGAAGGTAAAATGACACTCTCCAGGTCTTCTTTTATGAAGAATATATAACCTTGACCCCAAAAGTGACAAGGAAGGCAGGAAAGGGAAATGACAGGTCAATCTGATCTACCAGCACAGAAACAAAAATCCTAAATAAAACATCAGCAAATGGAATCTCACATTAAAAAAAAAAAAAAAAAAAGCTGATACATCACAATCTTGTTGGGTTTATCTAAAGAATGCAAGGTTGATTCAACATTAGAAAATCAAATACTGTCATGTCCTGGGAGAAAGGATAAGCCATGACAGTGGCTTACTATGCAGTGATTATCCAGTGGAGTACTATACAGCAGTGAAAAGGAATAAACCACAGCTACAAGCACCAGTGTGGCCCATTCTGACACATTGGAGGTTGAACAGGAACAAAAACTGCAGAAAAACACATTCAGCAGGATTCTATTTATTTGACATTCAAAACCAAGCAAAACTGAACAATACATTGCTCTATTTTTATAATATTAGGAAGAAATACAAAGATTATAAACTAAAATTCAGGATAACAGCTACCTCCCTGGAGGAGTGAGAAATGGTGTTGGGGAAGGGAACAGTAAAGAGTACATGGATGTTTATTTATTATATTATTCTGTAAGCCTCACATTTATCTTATATATATTCTTTTGATTGGTTAAAATATTTTGCAATAAGAGATTGTAAAAGTCCATCAATGTCTTTCCATTACTCTTAGCATAAAATCCAAATTCCCACAGATTGGATGGGACTCTTGCCTCCCTCCCATCTTATCTCTTGGCTCACCAAGCAGCAGTGGCTTGCTTTCTGTTTCTAGTCAAACTAAGCACATCCTGCCCCAGGGCCTTTGAATTTACTGTTCCTGATAACTGAAACTCTTCCACCTGACTTTTCTGCTTGTCCACTTCTTTACTGTTTCTGTCTCTCAGCTCAAACATAACCTCTCAGCAAGGTCACTCTCTATATAATGTCCCCTCACTCACCCAACTACTCCCAGGCCCCAAACTTATGACATTGCTCCCCATGGATGAATGATACTACCTCAGTCTGTAATAGCCTTGTTTTGCTTTCTTTTTGTCTCCTTGTTTCCCCCATTGGAGTATAAACTCCCTAAAAGAAAGTTCTTGTCTGCCTTGTTCATCACTACATGCCTGGCACCCGGCACAGAGTGTTGAGAACATAACAGGTGCTTAATAACTATTTGTTGAATGAATGGATGAGTATCTAAAAAGTCTAACCGATCTCCTCTGTCAATTAGGGGAAATGCCTAGTCCGAGGTGCGCACGGATGGGGAGAGGATTAGGTGGAGTTAGTTTTCAGGATACCCAACTCTCATATCCATATGCAAATGACCTGCCAGCAACACGGGGAAGGCACCAGGTGAAATGTGATTTCCATTCTGACCTGAGACAATGACTTTCAATATTCCCTGGAGCTGGAGGTCTCAGGTGGTCCTTGGTCTTCTCAGCAGGAGTATTAGAGCCTTGAGCCTTGCTCCTCCAGCCTGGACAGCCCCTGTCTTCACTCCCATGCATATCTCGGGCCAGCCAGAGCTAGAGCTAGGGACTTCCCTGGGAGTGGGGGAAGAGCTGTGCCCTGGGAAAAGTAGTCACAGCTCTGATGTCAGTGCTTACCTGGCTGAGACCCGAGCTGGGGGTCACAACCACCAGTCCACCCTGGGACTGGAGCCTCTCTGAAATCTAGTATCAAGACAACAATTTAAATAAAATCAAAAAACAGAAAACGGTGCTGCTCTGACTGATACAGAGCAAAAGTCTCCATGTGTTGCTGGGCGGGCCTTCCCTGGTCCCCCTCTTACTGGATCCCAGCAATTCGCTGGCACACAGCTTAGAAAGCAGGGCTCTGATCTAGACCCTCATATGGCCACTGAGCTCTGTCCTGGGGCCCCGAATGGCACCGTCCAGCCCAGCTGGTTTAGGGGGAGGACACCTCGGCATTCAGAGGTGTCTGGCAGCATGACCAGCCCCCGTGACAAAGAGGCTCCTTGACCATCCTCCCTGTGCCCCAACCTCTTCCTGCCAAGCTGCATAACTGGGAAGGGATCCCCAGCTCCACTTGCAGGGAACCAGGCTGTGCACCATTTCCATCACAAAGGAAGAATTCAGTGGGGCTCTTTCGGCCAAGTTTCAGCCCACAAGCACTTTTGTCACCAAGTTCCAGTCTCATGCCACGGGGAGGGGGTTGGGGTGGGAAGAAAGGCCCTGAGCGACCATTGCCACTGCCCCCGTCCCGCCTGGGAGTTTCAGGCCACCTCCCCAGGAGCCAAGGTCAAAGGGTGTCAGGTTCTTGTTCTTTTAGAACAGGTTCTCATAGACTGTGCACTCAGGGAAAACAAAAAGCACTGTGCAAATGAGTCATAAAGGTAGAGGAGAGGGGAAGAGGGCTGCCCGAGCCAGAGACAGCTGATGGGAAAAGAAAAAGGATGGTAAGCAATCTGCAAGGCAGAGTAATGACCATAGTAGGAACAGTAACAGAAGGAATCAGGCCTTTCTAAAGGCATCTCATCCTCACAGATGACCTTCAAGGAACGATCAGCCCCACTATCTCTGAGTCTCAGAGAGGTTAGGTAATTCGTGCTAGGTCACACAGCTGTAAGCAGCAGGGTCAAGATTCAAAATCAAATCTAGCTGACTCTGAAGCCCACCTCCTTTCCCTGGCACCAAACCAGCGCTGACAAGGCCGAGTCCCCCTGGGCCAGTCCCTGGGTGGGGCATGCAGGCCAGAAAGGGGCAACGCACAGTTCACCCCTGGAGATAATTCATCACCAAGGCGTGATGGGTGACAGGTGGACATTTCTTTTAGAATGGCTTTTTAAAGAATTTGATTGACTCCAACAATTCCTAGGTCCCTACTGTGTGCCAGGGGCTTTGGGGGACATGCAGGCGTGAGACTACGTGCACAGTCCAGCAGGAAGACGGGTGATTCTTCCTTGCAGAAGGGATGCCAACAGAGGGAATGGGTGTTGAACGCCGACTCCATGCCTCAGTTGAGCTCTTTCCATGAACAATCATTTAACAATTAGTTCTTTTCTATAGATAAGGACAGTGAAGTTCAGAGAGGTAAAGCAACTTGTCCAAGGTCACACAGCTAGTACATGGCTATGTCTTATATAAGGTATGTTTAAAACCCATACGTTTCATCACTAAGCAGCCCTGCTAAAATGGGGCACAGAAAATGAGCCTACAGAAAGCGCAACCAATTCACCTGGGAAGGGGGCGGGAAGAAGAAAAGCATCAGCTCTGTGAGGCCTTGAGGTGGATAAAAACTTCCCTCGGGCAGAGTTTGGGGGCAGAGGAGGTTCAGGTGTTCCTTGGAAAGGGTTCCGCCTGAGAAACTGCACAGAGATGGGAGGCAGGACGTCTCCCAGGACCTACCCCTTCTCGCGGAGAGAAGAGGCAGCTGCCCGCTCTCCAACATGAGACACTGTGAATTTTAAAAGACCTGATGTCTCCAGTCTCCTTGCTGATCCATTAAGCGTTGGCAAAATTGAGGAAGACAAAGTCATTCTGAAGACTTCCGGAGCCATTAACAGAAGGAGCAAGTTAACAAATCAAGGAGCTTTTCTTCGAGAGCTTGACATGGTGTCTTTCTCTAAACAAGTGGCTGGCGTGTGACTCTATTTACAGGGCTGGCACCAGGGACCCCATCTGGAGGGCTCCAGCCACTCTCAGTATTTCTCAGGAAAGTGACATCTCTATGTGTCTCCCTGCCAGGATGGAGTCTGGTGCCTGTGGGCTGCTGGGCAGTACCCAGAGGTCCTGTCACCATCAAAGCGAGTCTGACACCGTGATCCTTCTCCAAGCTCTGTGGATGAGCCACCAGTGGTCCCCGGCTCTGGGAAGCAAGGCTGAGCACAGGCACCGACCACCCCGCCCGGCCTGCCTGACGCCAGCCCCAGCACACAGTCAGCAACAGAACCATCTCCTACTGCTTCCCGGACAGCGGCCGAGTGCCGGGCTCACCCTGAGCACTGTGCAGGGGTCAGCGCATCTGCCCAGCCACCACGTGAGGGAGGGACTGCTGTCCTCACCTTTGTCCATGTTATCACTGAATACACTGAGGCACAGAGAGGTTGAGAAACTTGCCCCAGGTCTCACAGCCTCAGGCGGTGGTCCCGAGCACCCTGCTTTGGGCTCTGGTCTCCTTGCTCAGACCTTCGTCGTCCACAGGGTGACAGAAAGCCAGCCTTTCAGCCAACCTTGATTAACTCAAATCAAGGCAAGTCAGAAGCCATTATGAAGGGTCAGCTCCACCGTCCCACCACCCTCCAACATGAGGAGAGACTACCCTCCGGGCACGAGGAGGAAGCGAAGTAAGATTTCACTGCCAACCCTCTGGAGACCAGGAATGCAGAATTCTGAGGGTCAGCTCAGCTTCTGGGGAGGCGGGAGGATTGGGACCTCGGAGCAGAGGCTGGAGTGCATCCCACCTCGTTGCTCCCGGTCAGTGTGCTGGCTGCCGGCCAGGCTCGTGGGAACCTGGGTACCACCTGGACACTCTGTTTTGTCCTTGTCCAGCAGGCCGTTTTGGACACCAACTTGATTCATTGGGTTCTTGCTCCCTGAGAGGCATTTTGCACACAAAGTAAAGGAGGGGAGAGGGGAGAGCTTCTAAAATCAGGGACTCTGGAGGCTGACTGCAAGAACCAACTCCACCCACCAAGTGGTGGGATTTCCAGTGTGGGCTCCGGCCAGAGGCTGCGTCCATGTCAGCTCTGCAACTTAACTGTTACCTAGACAGGTTCCTTCTTTCCTCTCTCAGCCTGTTGTCTCACCTGGAAGAGGGGAACGGTA